TGCCGTAATCCAAGCTATAAAATATTTGAAGGTAGGTGAATGACGATTCACCAATTTCCACCAAGATAAACGAAATGTATTATTAGGTTTTAATTGGTTTTGAAACTCCTAGATTCTTTTGAGATTCATTGAACTTTTCAATGGCATGTTTCAATCTCGAGTGTGCCCTTCAGGTTTTGTGACTGGGATGCCGAGGATCACAAAACAAGGTGTGAAGTAACCATGCAAATATACTTGGTACCCTTAATATTTACCCCTCAATCGATGTGCCGGTTAACCACACACGCTCCAACGATACTATGATAAACATTAAGTTACCCTTTGCCTACCTTGTTAAGTCCAGGTTAGTGTACCGGTTAACCACACACGCTCCACTAACAGCTTAAACAAAGTGCAAAGTGTAATTTCATGGATTAGCACCTTATTCACATTTTCCTAAGTAACTAAGAGTGGGAATTTATAAGTGTTTAGTTACTTAGTATTTATCATTATACTTATAATGAAGGGAGAATTATAGTCCTTGTCCTACCTGTTCGGCTAACGACCCTCCACCAGTCAAGGAAGCGGTGGGTGAGAGTGGACACCCATTAAACTGCCATTTTATAGGCAGTAACCTTATACCCCCCTTATAGACCGGCTTCATGAATGAGGCCTACTAATGGTAAGACGACTTGCTCTTATACATATAATATATTAAACTTTAAATATTATAATAGTATAAGGGTGTATTTTAGACATTTAAAATACTTGGTGATTTAATCTATTAATTAAACTATACTCTTAATTAATTAAATTTAAACCATGTCATTATGAAATTATAATTCTCTTTTAATTAAACACTTTAATTATCTATTAATAAAGTCCATAAGAGTTAATTGAATTATTCAATAAAAAAATCATAATTCCAATTATTAAATTCAAAATTAAAACCATTTAATTAATTGTTTAAGTTATGAACCCAAGAGTTTTAGAATTCAATTCTTTTTTTTTATCATAAAAAACTTTTTCCAAATTCCAAAACTTGAGGGCAAGTTTTGTAACTCTTGAAAACTTTTGGATTCCATAACTTATGGAGTTAAATACTTGTTTTATGATGAAACTTTTCATGTTCCATAACTTAAGAACAAGTTATGGAATTCTTTAAAACATTAAGACCAAGTTTTGTAACTCCATAAAAAACTTTGAATCAATTTTTTTAAAAACCTTTTCATATCCATAACTTATGGAGGTTTCAAAAAACTCTTTAGATCAAACTTTTAAAACTAACGTCATGTTTTTTTTTCCTTTTTTTTCAATTTGAAAATAAAACATTTGCATCAATATAACAGAAAACAACCCATGGTTCTGATACCACTGTTGGGTTTTGAGCATTCTAACACTCCTATGGTGTACATGCAACCCTATAAACCTTGGATCTATGTTTTCTCTATTATACATGCAAATATTAACTATTCCAAGGTTTCATCATAACTAGCATATTATGAAGCACCTATACTACAAAGTTCTAGTTAGATGACATACCTTTTGATGTAGCTTGATGTATTCAAGCTTTAAGAGCTTAGTCCCAATAGTGTGGAAGCCTCAAATGGAATCACAAATCACCAAAACACCTTGGAAGAACTTGAGAGAATATGTATGCACACTAAAATGGCCCACTCTTATTTTCACACACTTGTGCCAATTTTGTGAGCCAAGGACCCCTTTATATATTATGGAGGATTAGGGTTACATCCATGTAAACCCTAATACCCATGACCTTTCATTTACATAGGATCCATGGGTTAAAAGCTCCATGGACCATCCATGAAAGCTTAGCCCAACCTAAATGAACTTGGCCCATTGCATATATATAAGAGTCCATATTTAATTAGTTCTTTTTGATCACTTAATTAATTCTAAATTAATTCTTGATCAATACTAATTAAATAATATGATTCCATATTAATATATTAGAACTTATAATATATTAATATAAATCATAAATATACTATTCTCAAAAGACTATCCATATAAATTGTGCCGGTGAAGTGCAACCCAAATGGACCATGCCGGGTCAGGTCAAGTACACACCAAATATAGTTATGGACTTAGACATTAATCCAACAATAAACATATAAGCAAACAATACAGTATGCGTAATGAGCCATCAGTCTGACTGGACCGAATCCCGGTCCTCAGTCTATCTGGACCGCTCTCCGAGCCCTCGGCACGTCTGGACCGCCCTCCTCGGGGCCTTCAGCCTATCCGGACCGCTCGCTGGGCCTTCGGCCTGACTAGATTTGCCCGGCCTGGGCCTACAGTCTACCCGGTCCGCCCAGGGTGTCTTGGCCTACTGCACACATCAGAACCTGCCTCAACCCTTTCCCCAAACCAATAAACATGCGCACATCAATATCATACGCTAGCATACAATAACAGATAGTCATACAGATCCAACCGATCTCTAACATAGCAACCATCCTACAACCAGGATATCAATCTAACAGATTACTAGCATATCAGCCATCCTAAACCAGGATGAAATCTAACATAGCAACCATCCTAAAAACCAGGATGAAATCTAACATAGCAACAATCCTAAACCAGGATGAAATCTAACACAACAACGATCCTAAACCAGGATGAAATCTAACATAGCAACCATCCTAAACCAGGATGTAAATCATAAAGGGTCGGCCTTGGTGTCGTAGACCCTGTTGATATAGTGAGGAGAACTCACCTGACACTGCTGAAGTCCCGCAGATAAAACTCTAGCTGCTGGTTGACAGATTCCCGAACTGTCAACATCAAACAATACCCAATTAATAATTGGGTTCCAAGCCCAAGGTTTAACTCACACTCCAAAGGGCCCAAAAGTCAGGTAATGGGCCAAAGCCCAATATATGGCCCAATTTTCCAAATTGGGCCCAGACCTCTACATGGTCTTTCCTTAAGGCCCTTCCAATTATTCTAGGCCAAACTCTTGGTATTCCCATGGTCCAATATTACATAATCATAAAGGACCAAATATAGCCCATCTATGGCCCAATTTCCAAATTGGGCCCAAGACTCTCACATGGGCCTTATCCTAGAATCCATATAATTATTTAGTCCATTTGCGTATTCTTGGAAGCCCATTAATAGTCCAATCACCAAAGCCCACTAGGAGGGCCCAATTCAAGGCCCGGGTGAGATTAGGGTTTTCACATGAAATGATGATTAGGGTTAACTGTTTCTTACTTATCCCATTAGGGACTTAATCCATTAAGTCCAATATTGCCTTAGGTTAATTTTTCCAATGATTATTAATTAATGTCTTAGGTTTATTAAATAATTCTCGCGTGTGTCCCGATCAATTCCCAAAATTAAGGTTTTCAAGGCATTAGGGTTTTCCAAATCCTAATTAGGGTTTCCAACCCAAATTCTAGCCCATTAATCAAATGGTTGGGCTTTTTGGTCAATTAGGGCTTCATTGTTAGGGTTTCATTGGGCCCACTTTGTCCAAGCATCCCCGAACGAGTCAAAATGCAAACGAGGCACACTCCCACCCAACACGGCGGTTGGTGGCGGCAGCCACCACCTCACGGTGGTGGTTATGGGTTTTTCTTTGATTATTTCCACACGATTACAACTTTACAACAATACTCAAACACACACACTCACATAAAATAATACACACACACATAAAAAAATACACACACACACGCAGCCGTACTGTGGCAGCAGGCGGTGGTCGGAGGTGTTAGCCACCACCTCACGGTGGTGGTGGTGGCCTTCTCGTGAAATCCGGCCAAAACCACAGCCAAAAACCACATACACACGTTCTTCTATTTCGAGATAAACCCAGACACCCACCTGGTGGCGATGGTGACACCAGTAGTCCGGCAGTAGCTCCAAAATCGGCGACAACCACCATTCCACGGTGGCATGCGGCGGCCGAGAGCATCAGCTTCCAAACGACAATGGTGAGGCAGCCATCGGGAGGAAAAAGGAAGAGAGAAGAAGGTGGTTCGAACCCACCGAGTACAATAGCAGAGGCGGCGAAGAAACGCCCACCTGAGTCCCTGTCGGCATGTCCGTCATCAACAGCTATGGCAGCAAGCTCGTCGACATCCATGGAAGGAGGTGGTGGGGAAGACCGGAGGGCAGTCCACTAGCAACAGGCGACAACAACGCGTGTATTTCACTTTCCCGACATTAGGATGGACGTGTATTCCACTAGCCCCCATCATCCAAGATTTATAACAATACAAGCCCCGAAAGTTACCACATAGCCCCTCCATGACAATTTCTTTTCACTTAGGTCCAGAACTTACTCTTTAGTCCCTGCTTCCATAAATCCTTACATATTAAGTCCGAATAATACCAAACACCCCTTGACTTATGAAAATCTTTACAAATCAAATCTCAAAATTACACTTTAACCCCCGAAGATTCAAATCTTGTCATTTGGCTTCACGAAACCAACTCCCAGCTAATTATTATTTGATTTTTGGGCTATAATAATAGAAAATGATAATAATTATTTCTCGGGGTTTCCGGGTTTATTATTTAATTATTCTATTTTAAACGGGATGTTACACAAAGTTTGGTTTGAAAACCCTAAATTGAGTTAGGGTTGTTCCCAAGTTTGATTTTTAGGTCTTTCTATGTTTTTAGAAAACGCACACATACACAAGCTAGTTGATGTGAACCAATCAACCTTCATTCTAGGAAGAGCTATCACTAATAACATCATTCTTTCACAGGAACTGATGCGAGGTTACATTCGTAAACATAGCAGCCCCAGATGTGCTCTTAAAGTTGATATCCAAAAAGCGTATGATACAGTGAACTGGAATTTCTTGGAACAAGTTCTATGGGGTTTCGGCTTCCACCATAGAATGATTCAATGGATAATGAAGTGTGTTTCGACCACTTCTTTCTCTATTAGCATTAATGGGGAAAATAAAGGGTATTTCATGGGGAAAATGGGGCTTAGACAGGGAGACCCAATGTCACCTTATCTCTTTACGTTAATCATGGAGGTTTTTAACCTTATGATCAAAAAGCGTATACAACAGAATCCAAAACACAAGTATCACCGGAGGTGTGGGAAGCAAAAACTAACTCGTATTTGTTTTGCAGATGATCTGTTAATTTTCAGCCATGGGAGTATTCAGGCAATCCAGGTGGTCAAAGACTCTTTACAGGAGTTCCAGGCAGTGTCGGGCTTGATCCCTAATCCTCAAAAAAGTTCGATTTTTTATGGCATGATCAATAATGTTTTAAAAGCCCAAATTTTGAATATTTTGGGTTTTGAGGAAGCAAAGCTCCCTGTTCGCTATCTCGGTATTCCTTTGATTGGGACTAGAATGCTTGTCAAGGATTGCACCAAACTTGTGGAGAAAGTGAAAGCGCACGTTCAGAATTGGAAGCATAGAGCTCTGTCATTTACGGGAAGACTTGAACTCATTAATTTTGTACTCCAATCCCTACAGGTTTATTGGTGCTCAGTTTTACTACTTCCCAAAACAACCATTAAATACATCGAAAAAGTCTTTAAGGGTTTCTTATGGAATGGTGGCGACTTGAAGAAAGGAAGTGCTAAGATTGCTTGGAAAATGGTGTGTAGACCTAAAGACGAATGAGGATTAGGAATTCGCAATTTATGGACTTGGAATGAAGCTCTTCTATCTCAACAGATTTGGAGACTTTTTACTGCAAAAAACTCTTATGGTTGATGGATTAAAAATCCATCATCTTAGAAAACAAACTTTCTGGGAGGTTAAAAGCAAGGATCTAGAAGGCTTCTTATGGTCTATATGTCTTCTTTGCGAGATAAATGGCAAACACATATGGAGAATACCCGGGGATGGAACACTAGCATAAATTTATGGTTTGACATTGGCATGCAGGTGGCCATTGATCAATATCATAAACGGAAGATGAGAGGAGAGGAATATACATGGGCTATCCAATGACCTCACCTTGCATCAGTTTTGCAGTAATCATAGCTCGTGGTGGCCTTGGGGGTGGGGATTTCGTTTTCCTAATATACAACTTCAGGGTCTCCCTAGTCTTCAAATTAACAAAGATGATGGGGTTTAGTGGCGGGACTTGGAAGGAAGGAAGGTTGAGTTTTCTCCTACTCAATTTTGGAAGGATATTAGGATAGCTAGCCCGGTTGTTTCTTGGTATAAGGTGGTTTAGTTTAAGCTCAACATACCAAGCCCTGCTTTCATTCTTTGGCTTGCCATTCATGATAGATTAATGACTCAGGAACGAATGCAAATATGGCAAAACTCGGCGAACCTCAAGTGTTTGTTCTACAAGATGGTGCCTGATTCGACGAACCATTTATTTTTTGAATATCAGTATCCGCGCGAGGTTTGGACTAAAGTGTGTGATATGTGTAACATCCAAATCCCAGATTTCAGGCTGAAACAAATAATCGAGTATCAAATACCGCGCCTTCAAAGTAATCACATGCAAAGAGACATGGAGAGACTTGCTCCGGCTGCCACGATCTATTTTATTTGGAAAGAGAGGAACTCTCGCCATCACAATGGAACCTCAGTTCCCCAAGCTAAACTTGTGACTGAAGTTTTCAACACTTTGAAAACTAGATTATGTGGAGTTCCCCTCAAATGGTCTGCCCCTATGGAAGAAATGTACAAAATATGGAAAATCCCAAGGCCTAGCAATTGGCCCCCAATCAAAGAGAATGGTCACGGTGCTTAATTTCGTTGACGGGTCGTGGTGTACCTTCGTCTATCTAGTCTTATGGCTTGTGGGCTTTATGAGTATTAGTATTTTTTCTGTGTAATTTCCTTACTTATGTTGCGGTTTGGGGTCCTACTAATGGCCTGACTCTCTGCTAGATGGCTTGTCCATTCTAACTTGTACTGTATTTTTTCTGTAATTTCTTTATTTTAATGCATTTACTGGAGGCGTTGCCCTCTTTTCCCAAAAAAAGAAAATGCACACATATCAATCGGCATGGTTTTATGTGTGTGTGTGTGTATTGAATATCATGTGTGTGTTCATTTGATATGGGGTTTTTGAGTTTATGTGTTCATTATATGTGATTTCGATTCTCGTTGGTTTTTGTTCATATAATATGGAGTTCTTGAGTTTGTGTGTGTTCTTGAATACGTGTTCTTAAGTATGTATGTACCTGTGTGTGTTCTTGAATGTGTGTTTGTTCATGGATGTGTTCTTGAGTTCTTAAGTGTTTTCATCGATGGCCGGAAAGTTCATGTTTTGCCGGAAACTTACACAAACCAGATATAAGGATGCTTTGTACACAGATTAAACAATTTCAATGCTAAAATATATATAAAAAAAGACTTAAATGACCAAATGTGTACAAAACCTAAACTATGTTACCCTTTTATGTCATTGTCCCTTCTTTATAACTATTTTTATTTCTTTATATTTTTTAAGCAAATTTTGTGCATTTTTCATTTCACATAAATTAGTTATCACAATACAAAGAGTGAGAAGGCAAACGGGCAACAGGATGCGTCACTAAACCTTTTTGTATGGTAAAATCAATTTTTTTGAAGACTACGTCTATAAATCTAGGGAATATAACATTATTACGCATGATACGTTGTACTATATTAAGAAGCTCTACCACATCCGGTGCGAGGAAACCAAACGTATCAATAGCAAATGGTATGAACACGTGTTGATTTTCCAAACACGATTTCTTATCAAGGCCGGTCCGTTGATTTTGAAGGCCCTGTACAAACATAATGTCGTAAATTGTCTAAAAAGTAAATTAAATTAATTAATAAAGGAAAATGTAATTTTTTAAAAATTAAGGGGATAAATATATAATTTCTAAAAACTGATTTTATATAGAACTTTGACGGTTGGATAGATTGTAAAGTATTGAGTATAAATGAAGGGCTGAAAATGCAAAATAAGTAAAAATCACTTTAAGTTAAGTAATCTAAGCGAAGTGAAAAAGTGAAATAGCAGGAATCGAACTTACGTTGATCCCGTGGAATGAAGCGGCGCAAGAAGTCGTCTCTCAACCAAACCAAATCAGTTTTTTTTGTCTAAACTTGAATAATGATAATATATGTTAACAATTTAGTTACATAATTTCGCAAAATTCCGGGCCCTATTTTTTTCGGGGCCCTGTGCGGCTGCACACCTTGCACACCCACAGGGTCGGGTCTGTTTCTTACGTTTTGTAACTGTGTATGTAGCAACTTTTAAAGCAGCGTGTCCCGTCTTGAAACCCCCAACCCTCAAGTGTAGTGACATAAGAACATGGTTTGGCATGCGGAATTAAAGATTGCACAATGAACATGGTGATTTGGGTGTTCAAGAAATGTATTGATTATGTATTGTGTTACAAAAAAGCATCTAGATCTAGTCTACATAAATAACACATACTTACACACTCAACTTTTACATCTCTCAAGCACACCTCTACAAGTGGAATAAACCCACCTTATATAGAGGTGTTTACATGTCTCTCTCTCACTCTCTATCTCTCATGTGTCAAAAGGCTAATACACCACATGCAAGTGGGTCTACAAAAGTCAACATTACAAAGTCATTCATGGAAAACTTTGTACCCCAACATTCTCCCCCTCAAAGTTAGGAATGAATGACCCACTTCAAATCTTCCAAAATCGAGCAACTACGCGATCCCAGCCTCAAGGGTAACACATGTCGAAACGAACTTCAATCTTCAATTCTTCCATGATTCTTCAATTTGGGCTCTAGGATGTGAGACCATACAAACCGAGCATCAACAAATGATCACGAGCTTCTCAAACTTCAAATTGATCACCAAAAGTTGAGCACAAAAGCACACCCCAAAAATATTCAATAAAACCAAACCCATTTCGAAAATAAATCACTTCCGAACTTCCAATTGCATCATTTCGTAAGCTTCAAAAATTCAAGGTCACTTCGGTCTTCAAATCCGCGTAATATGAAAAATTCAAGTTCGAATTTCCATATAAAGTTCTCCTCCTTTTTATAATCGAAATTTGATTATAAAACCTTCAAGGAAAGAGAACGTGCTCTATTCGTAATTTTTCGTGTCAAAACTCCCCCTTAACATGTGGCATAAACTTTGTGCTTCAATCCGGAAAACCCAAAAAAAATATTCAAATTTTAGCTTCGTTCACGGATCGCCTTTGACAAAATTTCTCAAAAATGGATAGAAATTGTCAATTTCAAAATTCTGCAGTGTGACTCGGTGCGCCCAAAACAGCAAAATATGCAAAACTCTCCCCCTTTTCCAAAGCTGGGTAAAAAGCGTCAATTTGCATAAACTGCAGGGGCCTGAAATGTATTTTCTTCAATTTTCAGCAAAAACAGCCCTTTTTCAAATTTGGGTACGAACAGCCAAACATTCGAAGCCTCAGGGACTATTTTCGAAAAATCTGCCCTTTTTGCTCAAATCATACGAAGAGTAATCCAATCATACGAAACCTCAAACAATTTTCGAAATTTGGTGAAAAGTGTCAAACATCCGAAGCTTCATTTCATTTTTGAAGTGCCAAATATTCAAAGGTTCAGGGGCTGAATTTGAAAATTTTTGCTTTTTGATCAAATCATACGAACGAAGGGTTTGGAAAAAGTGTCAAATTATCGAAATTTCAGGGACTATATTTGAAACTTTAATGACACCCTTCGTATGAATCACTCACTAACCCTTTGTACGAATTCTTATTCTTTCCCAAACACCTTTCGTATGAAATCCTACTGCCCATTTTCTCTCTCCTCTTCGTATGAAACTTCATCTTCCCCAATCATACGAAAAATTCTCAGCATACGAAGCCTTATCTAGTGAACAATAACCTCTTAATCATCCAAACTCTGAATCGACTATAAAATACCAACATCAACAATTGACCCATTGTATCTTCAAAATCCAAACACAGGGACCCTTCGTACATTCACCGATCAAAATCATCTTCCCAAAAGGCTTCGTCAGTCGAGTTCTTCCCAAATCATCGGCTATTGACCATTCGATTCCAGTCCGTCATTCACTTTTACAAACCCATCGATCATCGCATAACCAACTCGGGTTTCGACTATCGACACCTCCTTACCAAATCGATCTTTCCCAGTTCGTTTCTTCTTTCAATTTGCAACTCCAAAATCAAAAATCAAAATCACGATTATACCATTCGATTTCACAGTTTGACTTTTCAAAGTCAAAAGACTATAAAAACGAAATTGATGATTATAACAGCCACTTTCAGATCAAAAAGTGTTCCATTACCTGTTCTTCATCATATCCAGGTTGTTCTTGACCAAATTCATTCAAATCAAAAACTCAATTTTTCAATTTCTCAAACTTTAGTATGAACAAAATCGATTCCAACATATGACAAATCATACGAAATTGATTTTCAATCTCATATTAACAATTAACAACAATCATATCCAATCGATTTTTAGAGATAAAGAAACTGAAACAAAAACATAAGAACGACTTGAAAGAAATCGGTAGTCAAGAAAATTGAGCCGTACAACCGCTTTAAGCATATGACAAAACTACTCAATCAGTGAATAAATGTCGACTGAATTACAATGACTCAATGAAATCGATAGAACGAAAGAAATTGATTATAACCACATGAATTATTGAAGGAACAATGAAGAACAT